TACATATACGTCGTCTATGTCTGACCTGACATTGGACGATAGCGTACAATTTTGGGCTACCGAACAAAGGGGAGGACATGGGTGATCCGCTACATGAGCGGCATATGCAAATGGGAAGAAGCTTCAGCAAATTTGAATGCTATTTATTAGATGGCATAGCCCAAAATGTATTCCTAATCAAAAAGGCTGCTAGCATTAAGCAGATATGCATTTTCGCTTGATGGGAGACAGAAAAGCGATTGAAATGCATCCATAGGCCAACGATATCGGACTTTTAGCCAGCTAGTCTATAGTATATATCCCGCTCATTATGGATGTTTGTAGCGCACTCGATCTATGCCCCTGGCCCAAGAAGGAGCGACCCATGCACTGTGCCTAATGGCACCCATCCAAAAATAGACGGACAACAGCAAAAATATCTCCACTGCTCCGTGACAAATGCGACTTCAATAAATGTTTATGATTTGACAAATCAATCGGGCTACTAATGTCACAATTTTTTGTTACCCACATATCCGTGTCCAGGGCCCATTCAGACCCCGTTCCGAGCCCTCCGCTTCGGCCACCTGTCAGTCGGAGGGGGCCCCATTCCATTGGCACTTATTAATTTCGTTATTTGCTTGCTGTCCATTTTATTTATTCATCAATTTTATCAGCACAAATTAAAAACAAATTAGTCGACAGTAGGTAAATAATAATAAAGTGTAATAAAAATCACAGCCGCTTCAGAGGCGGGAAACGGAACATGGTGACTGGTTGGGGAGGGTGGGGGACCTGCAGGTTGGGGATTCAGGGATGGAGAACTGGGGCAGAGAGACGACAGTCTGTCGATATGCGGGGCGATAAGCAGACGACCAGACCAGACCAGACCACAACTTGATTTGCTGCAATGCAATCGAACGAAATGATTAAAACTTAATATTCATTTAGTTTATTTTGTTTCGTTTCGTTTCGCTTAACGAAAGAATCGATCGATTTTTAGTTGCTTTTAATTCGTTTTGTGTTTACTGTAATCGGTTTTTTATTGTTTTTAATGTGCTTTTAATAATAATTGATTTGCGATTACAACAATTTGATAAACCAAGTCAATGATGCGTTAAGCTCAACAAAATGCGAATAATGTCTGTCCCCATAAAATATTTACTCGTAGATCTAACTGATATGTGACAGTTGTCTGTACAAAAAGGTGACCTCTACGTGGCAGTGAGAGCCAGCCAGATACAACATAAAATATTTGGAGTTTGGACTTTAGAGAGGTCTCTACAGAGGTCTCTTACGAAGTCATAATTGTAGAACAGTTCACTGCTGGCAGCTCTTTTGGATGGGAAAACCTTTAAAGCTGAGGAATAAAGAGAAATTTCAATGGCATGATAACTTTTTACTTGCATTCACCGAAACCATATAAAAATAGAGATAGAAATAGTAATATTGTATTTGCACAATAATAGTAAAGTTAATTGCATTTTATTTGCTGAATGTTTATAATCCTGCTCTTAAAGGTCACCTTCATCGCCAGAAATAATTCAATACATAACGAGAATTATGTATATTTGGTTTTCCGTAACGAAATATATTTATACCATGTTCAAATAGTATTCTGCACTCAAAACAATAGAAAGTAATCTACATTTTAAGTAAAACAACCTTCAAATGATTTCCAATTGCTTTATAATTACGTAATTTTATTTTTTATTTTTCAAATGGACTATTTTCTCTGATAAAGATACTAGATACTACTAGATTTGTAGTTTTTCCATTTCAAGTTATACATATGTCTGGCAGTGGAAATACATTCCTACATTCATATAGGGACATTAGATGTACACACTCAATACACATTTAATGGTCAGTCGTACTGTTATTTAACGTACAGAATTATAATTTCGATTATCATGATTCAAATGGAAATTCGCTAGAAATAATGCTGGAAATACTCGTAATGATGGCCCTCCCGCCGTATATAATAATCAAATTGTGGAAAAATGTCACAACAAATCTACTTTCGTTGAACTATTATCCAGATGTGGTGGTGGGTTGTGGGGGAGAAAAGGTTGGCCTGAAAGGGAGAGGGAGCCATTACCACGCAGTCAGAGGAGCGGAAAAAGTTGTTCTGCGGAATAGAACTGGAAAACTTAATAGAAAATCAAGCGCAAGAAAATGGCGTCCGATAAGCAGATGGCACAAGCACAAGCACAAACCAGAAGAAAATCCAAAGGAAATCGGGGAAAAGCAAAGGCGAAAGATAAATGGGAGTGGGAGATGGGAAAGAAAACGCCCCGCAGCAAATTAAATGAAAATTTGTTTGTGTGTGGAAAAATCAAGTGAAAATTAATTGAATTGAGTTGAGTGCGGCGTCGCCGAAATGGTTGTGTGGGTGGTGGGTGGTGGGTGGTTCGGTGCTTTGGCTAGGGAGTAGGTTATAGCTGAATGTGGTGGGTGATTTGGGGGGTGCGGTGTTTGCTTGTTGGGGCGTAGGTATGGCCCCGTTTATAGATCTTTTGCGTGCCGATAGCCACCGGAATGGAGCAAGGAAGAGCGGAAAAAGTAGAAAATGGAATTTTTCGTTTCTTTTGCCAATCACAAGGCGACTTCAAAACGTTGATGATGGTGTGGCGTGTGGCGTGTGGGGCAGCGGCAGCCCCAAGACCATCTCTTTCTTTCGCTTGCACTTTCTCGCTCGCTCGCTCTCTCCCTCTCCCACTTGCTGCCATAATTCATTTGAAAAGACGGCAGCTGCGCAATGGGCTCCACTTTGCGCTGGGTGGGGTGTGGATTGGGTGCAGGGGACGATGGGGGGGGTGCCACTTTGGGTGGGTGGTACCCTCCAACCATTGCATATTTAAGACATTATTACATTATAATCGCATAAAACAATCAATAAAATGTCAGTTTTTCCCCTCGGCCTGGCCCCAGCGTCTTGGCAGCGGCAACGGCAACGGCAGTGGCAGCGGCAGCGGCAGCGCTTCTCTTATTGCTTCTTCGTCTCCTTCTGCCAGTCTTCTGTCTTCTTCTACTTTGTCTGAAGTCGGGCCTTAAATTGGCCATAATCATATTCGCCGACATCAGAGAGCAGCAGCAGCAGGCAACAGAACTTCGGTCAGTAGTAGAAATTTCCCCCTATTTTTGGTTGAGGCCACGCCTGGTGCTGGTGCTGCTGCTGCTTCCACCAGCCGTCTCGCTTGCACGCATTGCTTTATTCATTTCAACTCCGCCACTGCTTGCCCTCTCACTCTCTTGGGCTCTCTCACACACACACACGCACACACACACTCAAATTCACTTTAAATCAATTTTTTTAGCGTTTTTCATTTCATTTTCACAGCCTCGGTCGACTGTTGCGCCTCTCTCTTTCTCTCTTTCTGTTTCGCTCACTCTCTCTGCCACTCTCCGAGTGGCATGCTCTCTGGTCGTTCTTTCTCTCTCTCTCTCTCTCGCTCTCTCAGTCGCACGTACGCATTCAGGGAAGCAGAAAAATACCATTATTGCATTGGCTCTGGACAACGAGGACTCTCTGCGGGAAGAAGGTGTAGTGCGGTGTTGAGGAGGTGGGGTGCCAGTGCCAGCGCTAGGGATGTGATTGGGGGTGGTGCAGTGCAGTGCAGTGGCAAGGAGTGGACGGAGGCTCCTTGGCATGTTTGTTAAGTGAAACCATTTTTCTTTTTATTGCCCGCCTGTAACGCCAGCCGCGACGCTGACAGTGCTGCTCGTTCGCGGTCGCTGCTTCGCTTGCCTTCTTCCTCTTGGCCTCTCTGTTTTGGTCTCCTTTTTGGCGCTGTCTTCTTCAATGCTTTGTGCTCTTTCTCTGTTTTGGATTCTTCTGCTGATTCTTCCATTCCATGGCTCGTAATCTGCGCCTGATGCAATATTTTTACACTGCTTGCTTCATTGGTTACTATCTTCTTGTCACATATTCTTCTTGGTATGCTTCCATTTATAATTCCATTTGTGTACGCTGCTTATTCAATGCCTTTTCCCCCTAATTCTGTGCTGATCCTTTTGCTGCTTATCTGATGCTCACTTTTGCCAGCTCTTTCCCCGTTTCTTTTATCTCCTTCACTGCTTCCATTTCTTCATCATACTTGTACTTATTCTGCTGTAATATTATCCTTCTTCCCCTTATACTATCGCTATTCCCATCCCCTCCTGCATTGCTTTTAATTCCTCCTGCACTGCTTACATTGCTGTAGCTTTTGATAACGTTCGACTGCTTCGCTCACTCCTTCTCGTTTCTTCTTCTTTCTTTTGCACAGCCCATTTCCCTTTCGCCATCTTCTGTCTCTGCATCTGCTCGCGTTCTTCCGCCTTCTTTCTCCGCCTTTTGCTTCGTTTTGTTATTTCTCGCTTTTGTGGCGCACATAAATTTGAACGTTAATGATTTTTGCTTGCAGTCGCGCATGCCACCAGCAACAACAATAACAATAACAACAATACCAGTGACAGTGGCAGCAACAACATCAACAGCTGGCCAACGCAAGTGTTGAAACATATTTTATTGTTGTTGTTGTTGCTTCTCCCTCTTCTGCTGCTGCTGTTGCTGTTGCTGCTGCTGCTGCAGGTGTCGCGCTTGCCATCTCACTTTTTAGCACGGACAGAAACCCGAGCAGCAGCCAACCGAAAGCAGTGACACTTTTTTGTACTACATCCCCCTGGCTACCCCCTTACCATTGCCCGTGCGAATGTTGCATGGACACAAACAAAAACACATACACATGCATTTATTAAACAAACACAAAGAAGGGCCCGGTCGCAGTAGCAGTAGCAGTAGAGTAGCAGTAGCCGTAGCCCGATGTGGCTGTGTCTCTTCATATAATATTTCTCATTTAAACGTCATCTCTCTCGTTCATCTCTCTCTCACTCGCAAGCACCACTGCCACCCCAGCACTACCCTTCTCCCTCTCTCTCACTCACTATCTGTCTCTGTGTGTGTTCCGTCTCTATCTCTCTTTGTTAAGCTATCTCTGTCTTGTGCCCACCCAATCCGACTCCGAGCGCGACTCCACAACTCGGAGCGTAATTTTAATTCGAATCAATTTGTTTGTCGCCGCCGCGGCCGCTGCACAGTGGGTCGCCGCCAGAGTCCGGAGAGAGAGCTTGCATTTGGGGGCTACTACCGTCTGACAGGATTTACTGGATCCTTACGGACTGCTAGTCTGCTACTCTTTATTTTTATTGCTATTTTTTTTACGAGTGTGTGCCGCGAGTGCCATGCGAGTGACACCTCCGCGGTGACAACGCCGCGAATCGAATCGAATTGAATCGATCCCTGCGCAGCATGGACCACCTGATCAAGCAGCTCCAACTGGCAGCCGCTGCTCGGGCGCAGGCGCAGATCCACAGTTCGATGGCACCACATTCGCATTCGCATCCACAGCCGCATCCTCATGCGGCGTCTGCCTTGCAGCTATATGCGGCAGCCGTCAATATGCGTGTGCCCGGTTGGCCACCATTTTTGGGGCTGCCACCCCCCATGACGGACACGGATGCCACCGCTACGGCCGGATCCGTGTCCACCAGTTCCACCTCCGTTTACATGCTACGCCAAATGGCTCTCATGCAACGGGCTAATGCAGCAGCAGCGGCAGCCGCCTTGCAACAGCAGCAACAGCAACACCAGCAGCCCCATGATCAGGAATTCCCCATCAAAGTGGAGCACCAGGAGGAGAGAAAATCCAAGCATAAGGATCAGCGAATAGGCTCGATCCAGCGAATACATACCAATAATATCAATGGTAAGTGCAAACTCCTCCAATCAAATGCCACACAAAATATTCTCATTATCCTGAAATCGATGGAAGTGGAAGAGTGAAAAACGGATAGCACTTGCTCAGTCAACAAACATTTAATTAAATTCTTGTAATGTGGCGCAGATTCCTTAGGACACAAGGCAAGATCTGTTCAAATTTGCAACATCTTGATCGGTCTCGTCCTCGTTCGCCTCAGTTTGGGCGTCGTCCATCGGTTGTTTTTCAGGGAAACAAAAATTTTTACGCTCTTCCACGGACATTGAGTTCCACATTGCTGCGGCCTCAAAGATTTGCTCAGACTCGGTCTTCTCCGGAACTGTCTTGCGATACTTTTCAATGAACTGATTGTAAGGTGGTAGTGTTGTGGGAGTTCCAGACTGCGACTGCTCTTCCAGCTTAATGTTCTTCGATTTACTAGTAGAAGGCCCCTGCGACATGTCCGTCATTTCAATGTCTTTGTCCATCTTTTCGTAGAATATGCACACAAAATGCTGGGAGCCTGGTGCATCAAATTGAGATAATTATATTATTACAAAACAATAGATGACTTACCTTAACGCAATCTGGACAGAAATTGAAGCAATAAGACTTCGATTTCGTATTTCAGAAATGTTTTGACGGGCCTGCTCTAATTTGAACGCCCTTTTAATTTTTAAAACTATATATGTACATATGTATGTACATACATACATATTTTTGTATGTATGTATGTATATTGATCTTTTATAAGTCGCATCCTTGCTTCATTTTGATGGTAGAATTTATAAATATATATGAATTAAATATGTTCAAATGCCTTTCGTGCATTATCATTTATCTGCCATTGAAACGATCTCACGTCAAATGTTTCAATAGTATATTCTCCCGAACAAGACTTTCCTTCTCCATGTTGCTGTTTTGGGATGTTCGTTGCTTACCTAAATTACCAGCAACTTCTTCTATCATCCATTCGTACATTGATTCACTTACTCATTACACACTGAATGTGTTTGGAATCAATCGACAATGCGATTTTCAAATTTTTCCCCACTCTGCGCACTCATTCTTTCATTCATTTATTCATTGCATTCATTAGCATTCTGTTCAAATATTTGTGGCTGCAATTTGCAGGAATGGTTGGGGGGGGGGGGAATGGGAAAAATGGACAAACAACAAGTTTTCCCCGGCCGCTACAGGCCGCGCACTTTATTCAATTTACCAATAAAATTTCAATCGAATTGCTCTTTTTAATCAATTCACTGCCACACATACGCAAAAACACCCACACAGTGATACACACACATACACATACATACATATGAACATACCGAGTAATATTCATGTGGATACAAGAGAACCAGAACCCATGCATAATTCGTTTGGTTTTTATGTTTTTTGATCAATTTTTAATCAACGAAAACAGCAACCGGCCAGGCCAGGCAGCCACAGGCCTCATTTTGGCCCCACTGACTATGTTTGTGGCTATGTATGTGCGTGTGTGTGTGTGTGTCGTTGTATCTGTGGCTGTTGCTGTTGCTGTTGCTACTGCTGCTGCTTGTTGATTATGCGCGTAATTAAATTTGGCTAGCAATTTCGTGCGTTTTGGCCAAATGTGAAATAGTTTAGAGAGCGACAGACTACAATGAAGGGAAATGTTCATGAGGCGGCAGAGAAGGGTTGTCAAACAGGGTTGATCAAGGTCGTAGCCAGGATTTTAACAAACCAAATTCCAATGTATGTACATATATATTTAACTAAAAAGTATGCTGGCCCCGCCTCCCCCTGAGTACGCCTTTGGGGCGAATCAACAGGGACTACAATGAATGAGAGCCAGACAAAATGGGCAGGAAGAATAGGTTTATAGGCTGGGAATGAATTAATTATTTATAGAGAGATTGAAAAATCAATATTTTCTAAAACGAAGCAAATTCCACAGATTTCTTTCTGTTCTGCAGTGAGGTTAGGAACGTTCGGAATGGAACGGATCCCTGTATGTCTTCAAAACAGATGGTTTCGGTACATTCTCCATAAGCACAGTAAGTTTCAACTCTTAAAAGATATTCCCGATCTATGGATTATTGTTTGCACCAGCTACAATCGTGAGAAGAGAAGATTTGAGAAAGAAAGGACATATATTTGAAGTGAAATCGAATCTTTGATTGTATAAAATTGCATACAGCAATGACTTCCGAATAATATAACGCCTCGAAACGTCTTTATTTGTTGCATATTATTTCTGAAGGAAAGAAAGAACCCAAAGGAAATGCAGATATTTAATGACCTGTCACAGATCTTGAAGTATTCAACTGCGGAAGTACGGGGCAGCTGAAAGGGAAATATGAATTCGGGAAACGGAAAGTGGGAAAATTGGGAGAGGAAAATTGAACAGCGCAAGGACAGGTGAAGCCATGTCCCGCCCCCACAAACTGTCCTTCTGCCTGGCACTGCCTGGCGCTGCCTTGCCCACTGGCTCTGGTCACGCCCTGTTCGGGCAACGCCCCTACCCAAACCACCAACTCGGACCCTGCTTCCTCAACCTCACCCTAGCCCCCCTCCCCCATCCACTGCGATGTTTGAGGCAATTGAACTACTTCTGAGGCGCGTCCAATTCCAAATGGGAAACTCTTCGAATTGGATGTCTGACTACTTCGCATCTTGTGCCTCCTCGACGACGGGAAATTAGCTGCCATTAGTCATTTTTATTGTTTTCGGCCCCGAACCAAGACAACTAGAAATCCAAAAGACCAAAAGACCAGAAGAACAGAGACCAGCAGCAGCAGCAAAGTAGAGGAAAAACCCGGGGAACACTCGTCGAAATTGGTCAGAGCCAAACAATTTGTAGCAGCAATTTTTCTTTTACCATTTTGTGGGCCCTTAACCAAGAAAAAAAAAAAAAACAAAAAAGGTCGAACAAGAAGTGAAATGTCTTAATTATTTTTGGTAGCTCGCCGCCGCAGGGCCCCCCTCCCTCTAACCCTCTATCCCTCTCTCTCTCTAGGCCCAAAACATACAATTTTCGTTTACGACATTTTAATTAAGTTTTTCTCATTTTCCTCTCCCTCTCTCTTTCTCTTTCTGTGGTGCTCCTTGTGGAAATTGGGCAAATTAATAAGACCGCCATTGGCACGCCCCGTCAGGTTTTCGGGTTCGAGCTGAGGTTGGGGGCCCCTCCACCTTCACTGCACCGATCATCATTCCATCGATGATGAATGAATAGAGCTGTAGCTGATGTGGATGCTGGGACTGGGGCTGTGGCTGGGGCTGGGGCTGATCTGCTCCACTCCGATGGCCGCTCATTAGACAGCCGCTGACCGCGAGCGCTTCTGGTAATTGCCATAATTTCTACGAGTGGAGGAGCTCTCCTACCTAGACCATAGATTAATTGTGATTTGTGTCGAGTGGAAAATGAAGATGGAAAGATGAAAAGATGGGTAGAGTAGATGATGCCTCGATGTTTGATGGAGTCCCTTGCAGCTAATTGGTAACATCGAAAGTCCATGGCTATGGGATGGGAGAATGTTCTTCAAAGAATGAAGTCTGTGAAAGACTGGAAGCCCAAAAAATCGAACCGAACAACAGCCAGAGCCCATCAACATCAACGACTAATGGGCTAATTCGCTTCTGAGGAGTCGGAGTTTCCACACAGATTTTCCTCAGCTAATTAATAAAACGCTCAGTGGGCAGCAGTGGCATTAATTGGTCCGATCGTTGGGGGCCCACAAATGAGGTTTTGACGAGCGTTTTTGGCTCGTTTGTCGTTTCACGTTTCACGTTTCTTGGTCTTGGTCTTGAGGTCGGGAAATGATAATTATTTAAGTGGCTCTCATTTAGGCTCTTGCCAAAAAAAAAATGTAACGAAGAAAACACAACAGAAATTAAGGCAAACTCTCCACCCCGCCAACATCCCTTTGGCATTTGCATTCCCATTTGCATAATTTATGGGGGCGACAACCCTGGTCCGGGGCCCCATAAATCCCCCGTTTGATGGCAGCCGGCCAGCAAAACCAGAAATTCGAAGGCAACAATCTTTTTTTCTAGGGCGGCATGGAATGCATTTTGGCAGCTCCCTTAATTTCCCTCAATCCCCCCCCCTCCGCATCCCTTAGCTACTGCTGCCCCGCCCACCAGTTAGCTAATAAAAATCAAAAGGCGTTTTGTTCTCTAAACTTAAATTGAAAACACTTTAGGCCCGAGTGCCGACTGCCGAGTGCCGAGTCCCTTGTCCCCAGGTCCCTGGCCCTTTCCCTTCCACGTGAAACAAAGGGATAAACACTTCAAGGGGCGGATTTGGCTTAGTCCTTTACCCCCCGCAGCACCCACCACCCACCTTGCTCTTGCCACTGCCACTGTCCCTTCCCTGTTCAGTTCCACTCGTTCCGCGGGTTGGCAGCCTGTACCCGTTGTACCGTTGTTGTGTTGCTGAATTACCGTTTAGCACAAAGATGGCGGCGCTTGATAACAAAATAAAAATGTTGCCCAAATAAAAAGCACACAAAAAGCAGGAGAACACAGCCACAAAATGATGGAAGAACGAGGTCTAAAGGGGGGGGGGGGGACTACAGGGTATTCAAGTAGCGGGTGCTCGTTTCCCCTCCGTATTTTTATCTGTTTTTTTCTGTTTTTTTTTTCTGGGTACTTGACTGATTTTGCCCATGCTTTTTCTTGGTTTTTTTGTCTCGTTTTTTTGGCCATTTACAGTTTTGAGGCGTAATTTTTCTTAAATGCCATTACAAGTGCCACGCCCCAAGTGCCACTCGTGGTGTCCCCTGCCACAAATCCTCCACAAATTGGACAACTCGTTTTAGATTAGCAAATTGCGGCTGGCGGGTAGACCCCGAACAGAAAAATAATGAATTAAAGGCACACAAACGGCTGGAATTTATTAGTTCCGAAGTGGGTTTGCGTCTGCCCACTTATTATTTAATAAGTGCTGAAATTTGGTTGCCCCCAAAGTGGGGCTAGGACAAGTCAATCAATCAGACGCTTCGGGTGGCAGGGAGGAAGTGCCCGGACCCCAACTCCATCCGCAACAATCTGTGTCGACAAGTGTCAGGAAATCAAGGCAATTACATGACCCACTGTGGAGTGGGAGGCATAACAATAACACCTTCTGGAAGAGAGAGAAACGCTAAGCAGCGAAAAGCCGCAGGCACGTAGAATCGAGCGTTTTACCGCAAAAGCTTAGCTAAGCCCAACTCCCAGCCCCTGCCCCGCCCTGTCCCCATAGACACCACCCACACACACGTTTCGATTTTTATGCTATCTCCATGGACCCAAAGCCTCCACTCCCATCCGCAACGACATGAGAATTATGTAAAACTTAAGTAAAAGATGAGCTCGTCAAGAATTATGACACCCCAGGGACCGAGCCCAAGGATGTGTGTGTGTGTGGGTGTATGTGCAGTGGAATAACCACCCCCAAAACAGAATCAAATGTGAAAAGAGAAAGCAATACACAGAGACAGCGAAACAGCGAAAGAGAAAGAGGATGGTACAGATGTTTGAGCAAGACGAAATTTGAATGTGCTTTTTTCATAATGTATATGTAGATATATCATAAGGATGGATATTCGCATATGCTATAATCCAACCCACAAATTTCACATCCATTCCATAGTACAAGAGCTCCACTTGCGGGGGTTAGGGTATGGCAACAATA